TCCTAATACTATTCACTAAATAGGACTAGAAACAAGAACTCAATAGCAAAGGACATTTCTAGCACCTGGATGTAGTCTTATAGCATTATTCCCCACTAAAAGAAACTCAAGATCCTTGAAGAAAAGGCTGATTTGATATCTGCACATGGAATACACCACATGAGCCTTGTCAGGGGCTTTGAACAGTAAATAGGAACATCTTGCCATACCAGTGAGGAAGTATAGCAAAGACTGTGATTGTGTCAACTAGAAGAGCTTCCTACTAACTAAAGAAGTGCAGATTGAGCATCAAAAAGAATAAAAACCACACTAATTAGAACAAATGTAAAAATTAAAATAAAATAAAAAAGAATGATAATCACAATAGATAGAAACATATTGTACATGTTTAAGCGAATGAGTTCATAATCTAATAGTCATCTGAAAAAAGCGTCTAATTACTTTGAAAACTGGCAAAACAGACCCCCCAAAATGATGCATTTATCCTGTCATTACTATATGAAACTCTGAGTGACCAAATAGTTGGTAAGAGGGAGCTTCCCTTTCTAAAAGAATTTCAGCTAATTAGCAAAAAATAAAATAATTAGAATATCACCATTAGGGGACCTCTTATGACATAATGAACCTAARCAGTGATCATCGTGGCTTATAATATCATAAAAGAGCTAACCACGCATTAAATGCAACCTGATGGAAATGAAAGTACTACTTGAATCTGATAAGACTTCAGATCTAACTATTAATCTACATCAAATACAAAGAACAGAAGAATATGTTAAATGCCTACTTAGCCRTAAAATCAGCAAAATCCAGACCAATTGAAATCCTCCAAACAAATGACTCAGTTTTTTAAACTAATAAATTGCAAGGGAGAAAACTAGGAGAGAGAGAGGAAACCTATAGTTCCTATGAAACAGCATATAATTGTAATAACACAGTCTTTATTGGGTCCTGATTCAAACTGTTAAAAAACAAAAACAAACCCAACTTGGCAAAGAAATTTAAACATTGACCAGGTTTTTTTAAAGAATTATTTTTAATTATTTCTTACTTTGACAGTGGTGTTACAGTTATTTTTTTTAATTTTTCACCTTTTAGAAATACATACTTATAAATGGAATGAATGTCTATAGATACTAATATTTACAAATAAAATGAGATGATGTGTGTGACTCGAATCAAATAATCTTGGGAAGAAAGTAGTTGGGAAAATAGAACAAGATTGGCCTTACTTGAGCAGAAACTAGGGTATTTTACCATTTTTTTGTCTGTGTTTAAATTTTTCCATTAAAAGTTTAAAATATATATGTGAGGAGAAAACATTTCTAAAAATATGTTACAATTATTCAATATATGAATGAATATTTGAATAATTTTCAAGCATAAAATAAAATGACAATATACTAAGAAAATACCACTACTTTTAACTAGAATAAAGACTCAAACTGGGCGTGTGCACACACATCTATTTATTTAATTTTAAAGGCAGGGTCTCCCTATGTTGCCCAGCCAGGCTTCATAATCTTGGGCTTAAGGGATCTTCCTGCCTCAGACTCCAAGTGATTGGGACTACGGAGGTGCACACTGTCACACTAGGCTTTTGTGTATGCTTTTAAAATATGATAACATTAAGAGAGAAACATTCTGAGAAAGGTAATCACAATTTAATACAAATAAAAGATTAGGATGCTAATATACAAATAATGCTTACATACAAATAATTAAGTTGGTGATATACAAAGGAGTTAACAGCAATAACTTATACATTGTACACTAGGCAGTCTTGTAAGCATTTTACATAGGCCATGTAAGTTTTTAAAAAACAGAAAAAAGTACTGGTGCTAATAGTCTCATAGGTAATTCTTAAAAGAAATTCAAACACTCAAAAAAAMCCCAAATAAATATATATTTAACTTCACAATAATTAAATAATCACAACTTAAATTGTACTAAGACTTTAACCTCTCAAAAAATGAAGATTATTGTTAATGACTAAAGCTTGTTGTTAGTGGTACAATGTCTTACATTTTTAATGGAWATGTAAATCATAAAAAGTCTTTCTGGAGAGAATTTAGTAACTAAATGAATCTTGAAAACATTTATACCTCTTGACCCTAATATAATGCTTTGAGAAATGTCTAGAATTGACATGATCAGAGATGCACATGAAGATGTATGTGCTAGAAGGCTGGTCAGAGTTTGTTTGTAATAAAGATAAATTGGAGGGCTGGGGATGTGGGTCAAGCGGTGGTGCAGCTTGCCTGGCATGCTTGCGGCCCAGGTTCCATCCTCCGCACCACGTACAAAGATGTTGTGTCCGCCAATAACTAAAAAATAAATATTAAAATTCTCTCTCTCTCTCTCTCTCTCTCTCTCTCTCTCTCTCTCTCTCACCTCTCTCTTAAAAAAAATTGGAAGCAACCTAAACTCTAAGAAGAAAAAAATGGAGCATTTAAGTAAATTATACAACATTGATATCTTAGAATATTAGGGAACAATTAAAATTATGTATCAATGGTAAATAATTAATCAATAGATGATTAGATACATTTGTTGCACAGTATTAATTGTGAAGTAATGGAATATAGTCATTGACAAAAAGRAATTAATTACTTATTCATACAACAACCAAAATAAATCTTCAAGTATTAAACCAAATTCCCTTTTTGTCTTRACATTATAGCTTTAGTCTTCTTTCAGTTCTTCAAATACAGATCTTGCGTTTTCTGTGCCTATAATGACCTTCCCTCAGTCTCTTCAGCGATTTAATTCCTATTGGGTCTTTAGCTCTCAGATCAATGCCTCTTCTTTGTGTAACTTCAGAATTATAATTTTTATTTCTTTGCATGTACAAGTTAGTCAAATTGCAAGGTCAAGGGCACTRTCCTCCAGACTGCCAAATCTGTCCAAGACTTCTGTCACCAAGTACAAAACTTGGGGATTTCCTAATACCACCCTCAYATTTAATAATTTGATAGAAAAAATTCATAGAACTCACTGAAGCCTATTYAAAGTCATGATTGTATTACAAAGTAAGGACACAAATTAGAATATGAGGAGGGTAGAATCTAGGAGGTTTTTAAATATGGAGTTCTGTTGTCCTCAGGAAGTCTTACCCTYCTGGATCTATGTGTGACCATAAGCAGACAGTAATGCTCCTTCAGGAAGCTYATTGGAGTTCTGATATCCAGAGTTTTGAATGAGGCTTCATATGGGCATGACTGATTGATTGTCCAAATGCTTGAATTCAGTCTCTAAATTATATGGTGGATCTTTCTAGATTTCTAGTTGTGGTCACCTTCCACCCTCTGGATATTGGGTACAAAAGACTCTGAATTACCTTATTAGCATAAACTACCAGGTGTGGTCCCAGGTGCTCACCATGATTAACAAAGATAAATCTATCCTTCAGGAAACCCCAAAGGGTTTAGAAGTTACCATCTAGGAGTTGGCACAAAGGCCAGACCCTCTTTGAGCAAGACAAAATTCTTACTGTACTGCATGGCTATGTGAATAATGTCCTCCCCTTCACCCCACTCCACCATATTTAGTAGAGTTGCCTATGAATATAGTATAAGATGGATTAATTTTGATTTGTCATAAATTATTCTAAAGAGTATAGCTCAATAATATGCTTAAGAAAAATACATAAGAAAGGAGAGAAAGAGAGAGAGAGAGAGAGAGAAGAGAGAAAGATTATCCACCATATTCTGAGCTCCAAAAGGGCAAGGGTCACATCTGGTTTTGCTCCCAGTTTTTTCCCCTAGCACTTCACATAGTGGTTGGCAAATATTGAGAGTCTGTAAAACATGGATGTGGGTACTGACAGTCTGAATCTGGCTCTTCTGGACAAGTTACTTATCCTCTMATTGACCTCTTCTGCAATGAGGGTTGATTGAGTGAACATCACAGGAATTCTCAGAATAGTTTGTGGCACAGAGAAAAAGTTAGAGAAATATTTAATATTATTAAATGCTCAATAAATAAACACTGATTGAATAAGTGTCTGGCACCATAAGAGATGCTTAGTGAATATTTATTGAAAGAATAAGAAACTATAAATTCTTCTTTAGTAGAGTTGCCTATTCATATAGTACAAGATGTATTAATTTTGATTTGTCATAAATTATTCTAAAGAGTATAGCTCAATAATATGCTTAAGAAAAATACATAAGAAAGGAGAGAGAGAGAGAGAGAGAGAGAGAGAGAGAGAGAGAGAGAGAGAGAGAAGAGAAAGATTATTTCAGTTTGTTTCAGAGTCTCTTTCACTTCTCCAGCAAGTAGTGCCCTTGACATTTGATTGAGGAATATAATTAGACAGGGTTCAAGATCTCTTGTTATTTGTCCTTAGGAAACAAACTAGATATAACAACAGAGAAGACCATTTTACATGGAAGCATGAAAACTTTGTGTAAGTTTCCAATAACAAACAAAAAGGGACAAAGTGAATATTCAGTTAATTAGCAAAATTCGTCTTTAATACATGACAACATAGATTTGAATTGCAGCAGTGTATTTTTATTAATTTGATAGAATTTGACCGTGGTGGTGGACCATACACAAAGGTTGTGGAMAATTTATTTGAATCTGTAAGAATTTGTTGATTTTATCTTGGCATTTAAACTGGCCTAGTGTGAGCTTCCAGAAGGTGATTGATAATAGAATCAGACACGTCTCCAAATGACAGATTCAACACCTTCAAATATAGAAAAAAAGAATCAACTTTTTAAGTATCAACTTTTTAGCTTCAAAGTAATACATATACACTTAAATACAATGACCAAATGTTTTAAAATTGATTTATTATTATTAAACAATTATCAAGTTATTTAATAATAAAAAATCAATGTTTCACCCTCCCCACTATGTTTATTTACCAAAGGTAGAAAATATTGACAATTTATTCCTCATAGTTTTGTGCACATATACAGAATAAAAATATGTAAAYATGCACCCTTATGAACATGTTTGTAAAATGCTACTTTCTCTTKCCATTCCAGTGTTACCACAAGCAGTCACCCAGTTTGAAGAATTGGTTAGCATGGCGGAAACCTTGCTTAAGGGTGGAGGGACCATGTCCACATCTGCGTCCACTCTCTGGAGAGCAACAAATAATTCCTCACCAGATTCATTTGCCTCAACAGGCAGTAATTCCAATTCTAATTCTAGTTCACCAGTTTCCTTGAAGGCTGAGGAGGAGCATCATCCTGAAGAGAAGCAGGTCAGTTGGAATACTTGCCCTATCGTTCTCTGGAAAATAGTTAAATGCAAAAATTAAAATAAAGGCAGAAATKATCATTGTTGTGTCAGATAAGTTTKTAGGTAAGTTTAGGACATAACCTTMATATTATTATTATATTGAACTATTTTATCTATGCAATGAAAATTAATTTCTGAAAGCAAATACCCAGTGTAAAAGACTAAAGACAAATTGTAGAAAAATGATCAAGTTTTTAAGCTATTACATTCTAAAACCAATAACTGGAGGATACTTAGGCATCAACAGTTRTAAAATTTTATATAATTGAGAGGATAAATTTCAGCCTCTGTGCACTGGAGGATCACAATTCCTTTTTTATTTTTTTGCAATTTCTCTTAATGAAAAATCAGAAACCAAAAAAGATAAGGTTTTGTTAAAATCTCAGATCAGTCTTGGAAATTATGCCTTCAAAGGGGATAATGAAATATTAACAATCTAACATTCARAATATTTGAGTCATAGTATACCAATTTCCTATTGCTATGTAACAGATTACCACAATTYAGTGACTTCAAATAACATAAATTTAGTATCTCATATTTTTGTAGGTCCAAAATCTGGAACAGGCTTCACTGAACTAAAATCAGAGGTCAGCAGGAACATTCCTGAAGACTGTAAAGGAGAATCTGTTTCCTGTTCATTTGTGTTGCAGGACTTAGTTTCTTGTATGTAGAACTGAATTTCCCATTTTCTTGCTGGCTCTAAACTAAAGGCCATTCCCATAGCTAGAGGCAATCACAACCCTTGGGGTCATGGCCCACTTCTCCTGCCTACAGAGCCAGCCATGACACATAAGTCTCTCTTTCTATCTTTCCTCCTTTTTGTGTCTCTCTTTTCTGACCCACTCTTCTGCCTCCCTCTTCTGTTTTTAAGTACGTGTATGAGTAGATTAAGCTCACACGAGCAATCCAGGATAATTTCCCATCTCAAAGTACTTACCTTTAATCTCATTTTACAAAATTKCTTTTGTACTGTGAGGTAATATAGTCACAGTACAGGGATTAGGCTGTGATCTTCAGAGACCATTATTCTGCTTACCACACTTGGTATGTAGTGCTGAGGATAGGATTGATCCTTGAAGCACCAAATCTAGATTACATGACAAGAATTTACATGAACCCTGGAACAAATATCTCATAAATACTGAGAATTATCTCAAAGATAACATTAAGCTTTAACCCCTGAAGTGTAAAGCATATATTAAAGTATAATATGTCACCTTAAATAATGTTGATATTGTTTGCTGGCACATCTTAATTAGTAATATATTTCTCCAGATACCATTTTTCTTTTTCTAACTTCAACTATTTCATTTTCTTACTTTTTTAGTTCAAGATTGAAAAATGGCAGATTGCCCGTTGTAATAAGAGCAAGCCTCAGAAGTTTATTAATGATTTAATGCAAGTACTTTACACAAACGAATACATGGCCACACATAGCCTGACAGGGGCAAAATCGTCTACTTCAAGGGACAAAGCCGTAAAACCAGCTATGAATCAGAATGAAGTTCAAGAAATAATAGGTGATAATATCATTACATTATATTGTCACACAAATTTGAAATTGTGTTACCATTCAAGGTCAAGTTATTCTTTCATGGTCCTTTTTATTTTGTTTCAAATTTATTGCTCTATGAAAGAAAAATTTTAGAATAGTATAATGCTTTCATTAAACATGGAAAAATTTATGGAAAATTTTCATTAAAATGGTTATTAAAATAAAACTGAAGGTCAYATGACCAAAAAGTTTGAATTAATAACATTTGTGGCTTTCAAAAATAAAAAAGTTTAAAATAAAATTTCAATAACAATTTCCATTTTTCTYTTTCTTGGTTATATCCTTCATCTTTTATTCTAGAAAGATGAAGGTTAATTTGACTATACTATTTGTGGTTTTTAAATTAATAAACCTTCTTACATATAATCATCTAGATTATTTTAAAAAAAAA